ATGAATTTTTACAATTTTAAGTTGTTAAATCTTTTACAATTCAGTTTAAATCTTATAAATTTTAAGAAATACTGTTAAGCAAAACTACTTTTACTAATCATAAATCTAAAATCTGCAAACGAAAAGTATTTAAAAAAAAAAAGAATTTTACATTTTTTTCTCTGGATGTGGATAAACATGCCTTTTTTTATATTTATAGATGTTCATACATGACATTATCACATGTTTTAAGAGTTGTTTAAAATTTCATAACAGATATCAAGATTAACAATAAAGAAAACAATAAAATTTTATAAGAGATGTATGTAAAAAATTATAGGTACCTCTCTTATGAAATTTTATGTTATATTAATTTTTATATTATCGTAATTATGAAATTTTGAATTAATTTTATTTTTATAAAGTATTTTAAATTTTATTATTTTTTCCAGAATGAATCTTCAACTGTAAGTCTATAAGTAATATAATATTAAAATAATAGCAGTTCAATATTCTTTTCTTTGTTTTTAACAAAATGTTCCAGTGCTGATCTGGTTGTTTAATTCTTCAAAAAAAAAAAAAACAAAAAAAAAAACATTACTTCAAATATTTGTTAATTTGTAAAAATTACTGGGTAGTTAAGTTCATTTAAATTCGCAAAATTTATGTCACTTCTGTTCATTCATCCAATGACTTTTGACCTCAGCTGTCAATACCAACAGTCAACACCTGACAAACAAGTCACCAATGTTAAGAAATGCTTTTCTTATTTTCTACTACATTTTTTCTGCTAAAAAAGTAAGTAATGCTTGTTTCAAATTAGATTAAGTAAACTTTAAATTTTCTAATTTTCCTCAAATAATATTTGAAAAAAGGATATTTTCTTTTTACAAGATTTTTAAAACATAGAATTTAACTTGTTTACAAATGTATCAAAATGGCAGACATCATCAATTTTACTGAAAAAAAAAAAAAAAAAAAGTTTATTCCAATCACTATAAAATACAAAAAGTAAATTAGTAAAGTTAATGATATAAGATGGCAAAATCCTTTTGCTAACAAAATTTTAAAGTTGCATTAACCTACAAATCCCTCGATGAATGTTATGATCCTTGTTTTTAAAAATTATAAGCTGCATAAGATCTTTCTTTAATACAAAGGTACTTTCGACTGTATATTCAGTCATCTTCAGGTATGAAAATTATTTTGTTTTTGGTAAAATTCAGGTAGCATTCGAGACAAAAAAATATGCAAATCGAAATATATTTTTTTTTAAATGTGTTATTGATAATGGGTACAAACTTTTGGAGCATGTAGTCGCAACGCTAAGGTTGATTTTTTTTTTTTTTAAATTTAAGAGAATGCGTTTTTTACTAATATGGCAATTTGAGAATTTTTTTGTTATAGAAGTTTATCAGTCAATGTAGCATGAACTAAATAATTCAATAAATAGAGTAATGTCTCAATTGTTATCCCAAGAATTTGCACGTCAAATCAGTTCTTTTAAATCAAATATGTGGTGCAGTTCAATTTATATTACAATGAATCATTCATACAAAAAGTAGATTAAATTTCACCATTTTATATCATTAACTTTACTAATGTACTTTTTGTATGAATGAGTCATTGTAATATAAATTGAACTGCACCACATATTTGATATATAAATAAATGCAAATTTAAAATTTGTCATCTAGCTGATTGATGTTATCCCAACTCCAGAATTTCATAGCTGAACCTTTTTATCATCATTTGGTTCACTCGTCAGGAGGTATCAGCAATTGTCTGCTGATTTTCTCCTTTTTATATTGCATTAAAAAATAATTTATGCACTCTTTATTAGTGTTAGGTTGATTTTTTTTTTTTCTTTGTGTGTGTGTGTGTATGTATAGAATGTCATTGTTATTTCTTCTTTTCATAATTTTCTTGTCACCTTATACTCTCTTACTATTTCTTGTCTTTCTTTTGCCTCTGAGTGTCAAAGATGATGTAACAATGTTATTTCCGGTGACAGGCATTTTCTTGAGTTTTGAAAATATAGGTGTATTCCATTTTTTTTATTTCTTGTTTAAATGTGTTTTTTTATTTTATATATATATATATATATATATATATATATATATATATATGAAAAAAATACAGAAAAAAACAAAATTCTGAATATGCATTATTAATGTTAAAATAAAATCGGCGTCAGACGTTTGGTCTATTTAAGACCATCTTCATGGACATTTTCATTTAAACATAATTAACATTATAACTTATAACAATTTAACACAAAGACGATGGACATAAGAGCCCAACTAATTCAGACAGATAACTGAAATTTTATACAGATCAGTGTTCTGTTTAAATATGATCAATAAGTCGTCACGTGGGCGATGTTGTTAAGACGTATTCAACATCGCCCACGTTGTTACGCGGATCATATTTAAACAGAACGCTGATCTGTATAAAATTTCAGTTATCTGTCTGAATTAGTTGGGCTCTTATGTCCATCGCCTTTTGTGTTAATTATGTTTAAATGAAAATGTCCATGAAGATGGTCTTAAATAGACCGAAACGTCCAAATGATTTTTTTTTATTTTAACATTAATAATGCATATTCAGAATTTTTTTTTTTTCTGTATTTTTCTTTTCATACTGTCGGATTTATATCCATATATTTATATATATATATATATATATATATATATATATTGGACACCTCGAGGCGGTGTAATGGTTAGCAAGCTTGTCTCACTAAAACGATTACAAAGTGAGTTTGATCCTCACTGGGTGCCCCCTACTTTCGGCCTTGTGTCACATCTAAGCTATGTTTGGAAAATCACTATATATATATATATATATATATATATATATATATATAGAGAGAGAGAGAATTTTTCTTAATATAAAATCACACTGCATGGTGATAAAAGTATCTATTCAGGGTGAATGATAAAAGAATAACAATGGACGGAATTTAATATTTTTTGACTTGCACAGTGATCCAAGCTCAAAGTTTTATAATCCGAATCTTTCAACAGTCATCATGAATTTTATGAGATAGGAGTTCAATCCTCATTCATGGCTAATGATTCATACTGCTTACATAGCAGTCATGGAATGTAAAGGCAACCAAAGCCTTGGAACAAATTACAATATGAAAAATAAAATGAGCAACAAAAGGCTTCATCTATGAAATTGGCTCAGTTCAAGATACTTAAATGTATGGTCATCAGCAAAAGGGACAGCCCAAGGTATGAGCTGCAAATAGGTGAGGTCAGAATCAAGTTGATTGTCTGGTTCGTGTAATAACAGACAACAAAAAATGTGACACAGACATTTGAAGGCGCAGAGTAATAGCAATAGGTTATCTTCCAGAAACTAAGTAAAGTATTAAAAGATAGGAACATTTTCTTAAAAACAAAGAAAAGAGTATTGAACTGCTATATCATCTATTCAATATGGCATTGAATGCTGGCTGGACAATTTCCTTACAGCTAAAGAGACTTGAAGCAACAGAGATGTGATCCTAAGAACATGTGAACAACAAGTTTTAAAGCAATAGGAACTTCAAGGAAAACTATACTTAAAATCAGAGGCGGTTAAAATTTCTGGGATGCATAATGAGGAAAGAAAGCTTGGAAAATTTAACACTCATAAAAACATACTGAAGGATAACACCAAGTAACCTTCCTAATAAGTTTCTGTGAAAAGATGGCAGGGTGTTGACATTGAAGGATGGTGAAAAGACAAAAAACCTATAAGAATGAACTCTCCTCTTTGGTGCCTCGACCTCATCAATTTAAGTGTAATTTGATTGTAATTTGATTGGTAATTAATCCTCATCATTTTACTGTTGAATTAGATGTAACCATAAGTTCTATTCTAATGGTTTCTTCTCACACTTTTCACCTGTGGAACTCCTTTCCAAGTTCTTGCTTTCCTGTCAACTACAATCTTCAAAACTTTAAATGCCACCATCTTCTGTCTTTCTGAATCTTGTTCTTTTATTGGCTTTTCTCCTCCCTAACATTTTCTCATTTTCTTTCACTGTCAGAAACCCCTTGCCTCTTAGTGGTGTTATCTGTAGGAGACATTTAGGGACACTAGTGACATCTCAGTCTAACAGATCAGCTTTTCCCCTCATCCAGTGAGAAAAATCTTACTTTATCCTACCAACTCACTATCCATCTCTACATTACGATGCATGGCTAGCAACTCTCAGCAGACAGCATGCACCTGGTAGAGGGTTCACTTTCAATCCCAACTGTTCATCTAAGCCTGCAACCAGAAGTCTTCAATATCCAGTTTCTTGTCACTTGTTCCCAAAAGTTTTCATTTATTTCTTTTTTTCATCAGGTGAGTAGCTACTTTTGAAGACACCATTTCACAGATTGGTGATAAAGCAAAAAACCCTTAAGACTGAGTTAAATTCATAGACCTTCCTCTTCTATGTGGGTGACCCAATCATAGTCACAAACAGAAAGTAATCTCTAAAAACATCTTAATCTGTACAGTTAATGTTACTGCTTTGAATAAAAATAAGTTTTGAAAATTAAAAGTTTCAATAATTAAAAAGAATAGAAAAAATTCTTAGCACTCTTATTTTCACTAGAAATGCCCATGAAAATTTCACAGTTTTCCGATTTTAATTTTCTGATGAATCTTACTTTTTAAGGTAATAATTGAATAAGCTCATGGGGAGTTCTACGACAATAAAATATCTAGAAATTCTCCTATTGCATCGTTAAATATTTGAGCTTAAAACTTTAACAATATTGCAATAGCAATCATAAATATGAATGCTGGTTGTTATTTTAAGAAGTAAGAAATAAAAAGATTTGGAATTGACAAATTTCTCCATTTTACAAAAATAGACGGTAAACACTTTAACTTCCCTTCTTTCTTTCATTTTTTTCACTGAAACCAGCTAGCATCTCTGATAATAGTTCATTATTTATGACATATTGGTAAGGTGTAAAGCATGTATATGTTGACTAAGGAAGGGTAAAGACAGAATTATAATGAGATTCCTAGAGAAGAATGCTAAGAACACAAGAAATGTCTGTCAGTCTTTGTACTGGTAAGAGAGTATATGGAGTAACAGTATAATTCTCTTGGAGACAGCCATGAAGCAGAGATCTCAAATTCTCATAATCAAAACAATCATTCCTGTACATAATTTTCATCAATGGAATAGCATTCCAGTCCAAATCATTATCCTTAAGTATTTTATCAAAAAGGCAAAAGAATTCAGGAACTATCTGTGAAGCTGAAAGAGCATCATTACCAACAGAAGACATTTTCATAAGGGTACCTCTCAGTCCAAAGAATCCACTCTGATGCAATTTCTGATATTCAAAATTAATATTAAAGTTTTTTATATGACTCTTGTATTCATTGATTTCCCCCAGTTGATTTTCTGATGACCGACAATGCCACTCCACCATTGCACCTCTTGGCAAACCGGGAATGACAACAAATTCAACCAATGGATACGAAGACTCTGAAGAATCGTCACGTAGGCCTTCTTTGTCCAATGCTCGATTCCATTCTTCTTGGGCAAATTCAATAAAATCAGTTTGTGTCACATAACAAACACACAAGTTCACATTCTCTAAAGAAATGGCTGGATTCATGGCAGCAAGAACTCTTTGTACGTGTCGCAAAGATAACCTTGCCTCAGCAACAAACCCGTGGTCTACAAGTTTCATGGTGGCTGGGCAAAGGCCAATCTGACCAGCCATTAATATCTGCCCATCAATTTTCACAGCCTGACTGTAGGGCCCTATATTAGAAGGAGCCCAGTGAGACACTCCCTGCACGTGCATTGTATGTCGAGCCAAGTGATCATCTTTGAAACTTCCTGCAACATCCATCATAAAAAAGAAGTTTTCTGGGAGACTGGCTTCTACACAAACTCGAACAGGTGGGTTGAGTCCAAAACACGGATTGTAGACAGCATTCACTGTATCATAATCAGACATAGATTTCACATAGAGATTAACAGCATGGATGTTTTTAGCATCAGCAGAAAGCAAAGATAGACATTGATAAAGAGAATCTATCAAACAATGACTAGCTTCGGTGACAGAATTACCATGTCCAACAAGATTGCCGACCCAGAAATGTCCATTAAATTCTTTAACGATGGGATGAGTGATGGTAACAGCAGGTGTGACATCAAGATCTGCTTCTCTCGAGCAGCGTATCTCAGGTAGTTTTTCCAGCTCTTCGGGAGAGAATAGTTCCTTAATCAAAGACTGACTATGCTTAATAGAAAGATGAGCCAATTCTGCAGCAGTTGCAGGCTCAGAATTTTTTTCCTCCAAATGAAGTGATTTAAAGGTTACGTATCCAACAGGTGCAAATGCATCATCCGAATGGATCACTTTTTCAAAATCATCGACAACAATCCGCTTTTTGAATAACGGACAATCCAGAGTAAACGTTTCATATTCACCACCCTCACCACAGATGTTCAGGCCATATTCTCGATTTAAGCGGACCATAGTTGGATGAATGGCATCTAAGGAAAGAGAGAGATGTTTGTCTGGGAGTAAACCCATGGCAGCTACTTTGATGATTATTGATTTGATTTGAGCATGGATCATTTCAGCTAAAAGTTCTGCCTGGTCTCGACGCCAGAGATAAGCCAAAACTCCAAGTTTTAAACGGCTACAGACGTGTTCTACACGAACTCGCTGGTAGTCTGAGAGAATGGCCCCGACAGAGACAGCATCAGCCTGTGCAGCTTCTTTAGCCATTTTTAACAGTTCATACATGTCTTCAACTTCATCTCCAGAAGTTATTTCATAGTCCTTTCCAGTTTCTATTGATGAGCCTTCGATTGTTCTCCTGAAAAGTGGCAAGCCCATTGCTTCTGCATACAATTCAACAGCTTGGTAACCGACTGTCTGTAAAGAAAGAAAAATAAAGAAACGTTCATACAGGTACACAATTGATTTTCCTTGGGTTTGTAATAGAAACAGTGAGATTAGCCGTTTCCTTACAAGGAAACATTCAGCACTCATTAACTGAATGGCACTAGTATGGATTGAAATTTATAAAAATCTTTTTTGTAAAATCAGTTTTTCAAAAAAATTAGACATCTCAATTGCATTAGGCTGATGGCCACATCACATTGAAACACAAGTCTCCATACGATTACTGTTAAGCAATGTTGAGCTTGGTCAGTAGCTAGATGGGTGACTGCTTGGGAATATCAGATGATGTAAGCTTGAATGTATGGGTGGTGTAATGGGTAATAGGTCAGAATTGTTAGTCTGAATGCAAAGTTCCAATTCCAGTTGGGTTCATTATATTCACTTATGTGCAAATACCCTTGGGAAAAGTATAAATCCATCTCTTCTCCCCTAGCTATGGGTTAATTAGTAAGACTTCTATCACTAAAACCATTATTATCTTAAAAAAAAAAATCCTACAATCTAAACATTATTTCCTAGATTTAGAGTTGATAAGCCATAAAAAACGAATCACTTGATCAAGTCCATTGTTATATCCCATATTGTTGGGAGTTTCTTTCCTAACTTTTTGCATTTAGTAGTGTGGAATGCTAACAACTTGATTATAGCATTACTTTTCCTTGTAGTTACATGTGCTACCTATTTTTCTTGTTATTGCTGTTGGATATATTCAAAAGATGTAGTTCCAAGTAATAGACTTCTCAAATTATTTGATAAAGTTCTGTTTGATTCTGTAGTACCAACTTTCCTATAGTTTGCTACTATTAAAGAACACACAGACATATGTCCAAACTGACAAGAATACAGGTCCATGGTCTCTTAATTTACTACAAATTACTGCTAGAATATTTTTCCTTCCAAAAACAATCTTCAACCAGGGTGCATAGAAAGATTAATAATGCTTCACTCATTATGTACATTTAAATTCTTCGATTTTTCATTGAATCTGATGTTAGTTTTCAACAGAGTTTATTTGTTTGTCCTGCGAAATTGGTTTTCAGCAAACAAAGAAGTTACCAGAACTGCAAAGTTTTCGCATCTGAATTCTCAGTAAAATTTCTGTTAAGATCTACTTATCCACCCACCCTGTATGCTGATGTCTACATGCAATGGCCATGAAACACCACCAAGAATATTGTGTTTTTGGTAGTGCTGGGACAGGGAATGACAGGTAACATGAGAAGGCAGGGTTTTAATGGGAGTTTCCTTCCTAACCTTTTGTTTAATGTTGTGTTGAAGGTCAACATCTTGATAATGTCATTTTGCCAGAAAAGCAGAGAGAAACTATTCTGGAACAAAAAGCACAATGTAACTTTATATATTTATCAATCATGTAGCCTTATTTCCCCCTCATAATAATAGGCTATTCCGTAGTAACCGGTAGGGGGGGGGGCATTAATACCAATAAGTGAATTTGCCTATAACACTGGAATATTCCATGAGTAAGCAGGGGAGATCTGGCTGTTACCTTATTTCTTTTGTTTCCTGTCAGCTTTCTTTGGATATTTTTACTTTTAATAATTCAGAAGGCAAAATTTTTTTTTATGAATCAAACTCCATTAAGACTTTGCTTGTATTCACATCCCCCATGCTCTGTTCGGATTTCAAACAAAAGGTCTTGTCACCGACATGCCATGACAAAGAAGGGGTTGGTTGAATGTGCAAAATATACTCCTATAATAAATGATGTGCTCTCTATTATGTCCACACAGTTGACCTGGAAATAGGTCAGAGCGTGGGTTACCGAGTACATTCCTGCTCAAAACTCAGACAGGATTTGTGAGCTGGTCACCAACTTACCATACGCCATAAAAGCAGCTCATCAGCCACAGTCAGCAAAACAGACCAGTCTCATTTAACAGCAATGACACATGTTACCATTACGTGTATGTCAGCTTCACACACACATTGGCATACATATTATTTCAAAATTTACAGATGCCTCACAACAAAATAACTTTGAACCGTGCAGACTCACTTGCAACAAATCACTTTGAACAATTGAACTATTGGTCTCTCCATGGCCACAACAAAGTCAAATGAATTCTATTATATAAATACACATGTATCTAAATGTATAAATGTTACTGTCACATTTAGCTTTGTCTTCTTTCTTCATGTTGTTTATTATTTTGTGTTGTAATTTGTGGACATGACACTCTGCTTTTATTTTTCCACATAAAGTCCAGGTAGACTGACCCCACACAGCTGAAGAGACTTGAAGCAACAGAGATGTGATGCTGAGAATACCATAGTCTGAACATGTGAGCAACACAGACGTTTTAAAGAAAATAGGAACTACGAGGGAAACTTCTTCACTTAAGATCAGAAAGAGATGGTTAAAGTTTCTGGGACACATGAGGAAAGAAGGGTTGGTGAATTTAACACTCACAAACACATCCTGAAGGGGAACAACAAATAACCTACCTAATATGTCAGCAAGTTTCTGCCATATCATCCTGGCAACATGTGGCCAAGTATTGTCATGAAGCAAAATTAGATTTATTCAATTAACCAGTGCCGATCTCATTTTGCTTAACTGAATGTGCATTTAATCCAGATACTGGCAGTAAACTTCAGCAGTGTTGCTCTGGTTAGATTCCAGCTGTAATAGACAATGCCAATGGTGAGCCACCAGACAGTTGCCATAATCTTCTGTTGGTACCATTTAAGTTTTGGAAAGTGTTTGGGTCCTTCATCATGATCAAGCCAATCATTTAGGATTATTTGTCATAAAGGATCCATTTCTCATCAGAAGCCACTATTCAATCAAAAAATGGATCATCTGAATTTCTCAGATGCAGCATCGAACACAATTTCAAAACACTAAAGTCTTTGAGATTGACTGAGATTATGTGGAATCAATTTATCGAGTTTCTTCACCTTGCCAATTTTATTGAGATCTTCTGATATTCTTGAAATGCTGACAACCATTATTTGAGACAATTCTCAGACTTGTTGATGTGGGGTTTTATTTGACTAATGTTTTCAGATGTTGATTGTCTATCACAGATGGACATCCTTTACCACCATGATCTTCAAGACTCGTATCCCCACTGTGGAACTTCACAAACCTATAGTGTACTCTCCAATGACAAGTGGATCCTTCACTCCATGCTCTGGTAATGTTGAAAGCAGTTTGAGAAGTATTATGACAAGCTTGAACTTATGCAAAAAATATAAACACATCACTTCTTTTTTGGGGTTCAAAATGAGGGGTATATAATTTTTTGTTATATTCAGAAAAAGACTGATATAAAATTCACAAAGAGGATCGGCATTACTAATATATATATATATATATATATATATATATATATGTGTATGTGTGTGTGTGTGTGAAAATATATAGAAAATGGGAAAGAACTGGTTAGGTAAATAATCCAAAGTTCCTTAGTATTTTTGTTATTATTTTTAAAAATAGTGCTCGATACAAAAGTAGAGCATAAATATAATTATTTATTTAAAAATATGATTCCAACTCATGACATAAGAAGTCTCATATTAAAACACGTAAATTTCACATATAAGTTATTCCCAAAAAAATTTCGCTTGAAGATGGAACAGAGCTTACTTTAACTCAATTTAATTCAAATAATTATATTGAAGTTTTCGGCTCTTGTTTTGAAACATGAGACCTCTTATGTTGCGAGTTGGAATCATATATATAATATAAAAGGCTCAAACACTAATATTCCATGGTTGTAACTTATTACATAGAAATTGTAATCACAATCCAATTCATATATATATATATATATATATATGCATTAGTAATATATTTTTGTGCAACTATTATAATAATATATTAGAACAAAAATGGTTTATTCCAAAAGCAGATATTATTTACTGAAACAACCTAATATTGGGATATTTCATATCAATCATTTGTTATAGATATGATAATTATTCATCATTGATATTTCATTGATGTGACACATTGAAACAAAATATTTAAAATGGAATAGGTGAAAACCAACTAGATGTTTAAATTTATTTTCTTGTTGATGTTTCACTTTCAAGACATAAGGAGTTAAAAAAAATGAAAATACACTTGAAAACGATAGAGAAATGTAATCTCTTTCACTTAATGGGGGACTGGATTGTTTGGATATTTCATATTCACGAGTATAAATACTTCTATAAGGTTGTTTTTATAATGGCTAGCTGCTTGTTTCTGAGTATGTCTGCCTACTAAGGTGTTGAGCTAATCTCTGTTGTAGACACACGCTCAAGCACGTCAGGGTGATGGTTTAGATGGTTTAGTGCAAAGCACTTGAGAGACAGCTTTCATCCTGCATAAAATGAACACTACCACACACTGACAATTTTAAACATATTTTGAATGTTATTACTTTTCTTTATACAATTGCTCTGTGTAGGTTTGTTTCATCAGTGGTATATATATATATATATATATATATATATATAATGTGTGCAAATATATAGTAAAAATAGGAAAGAACCGTTAGGTTAATAATCCAAAGCTCTTTAGTACTTTTGTTTTTATTTTTAAAAAACAGTACTCAATACACAAGTAGAGCCTAAAGTATAATAAACCTTATTAAAATAATTGGTTTAGCCGTTTCCATAGTAATATTTTGAATGAATATGCTTATAAAGCTCCATAAATTTCAAGATTAATTATTCCAAAATTCACTTGAGAATGAAACAGAGCTGGATACTTTAATTCAATTTAATTTCTATAATTAAATTGTTTTTGAAACATGAGAACTCTTATGTAGAGATGGAATCATATTTTTAAAAAATAATTATATATATATATATATATATATATATATATATATAAAATTATTTTTTAAAAAAATATTTATAACAAATATGTTATAAAATCACTACAAAAATAGGCATTTTGTTTCAACATCCTCAGTGTCTTATCAAGGGTGTTGAAACAAAATGGCTATTTTTGT